TTTTTCATGAAAATTATTTTTATTTTTTCATGTTCTGGAATGTTCCGGCATGTTCCGGAATGTTCCATCTTCCTGGTTTTATCGACGCCCCTCTATCGCTCGTAGGGTTAAAACACTATCCAGCAAAGTTGCTGACTGAGTACGAGCAGATTAGTAAAATAAACTTTTCTTTCTTCGATCCGTTTTGAATTGCTTGGTTGAATATGGACATAATCAAGATTACGTTACCAGCTGTTTTCTGTTCGGTTTTGAGAATAAAAAGGTTTTTTTATGATTCAGGGGCACCCAACGAGAACATAGTTCAAAACCACTTAAACATAGCATTGTTAAACGTATTTTTAATTGGTATTTAAACGGTAGATATAGGCATATTTGTATCTCCTAGAAACTTTTCATCTGTTCGGATTTCCTAGCTGAAAGTCTAGTTATCCGAAAATTATAGAGATCAAAACTTACCTTTCGAAAATTTCAGCCAGAAAAAAGGCTCCCGAAAATTCTAGGTGACCTTTTTAGGGTAAAAATCCGTTAAAAATGGGCAATTATACCATTTTTTAGATGTTCGAAAATCCCATGAGAGGTAGGCAAGCAAGAAATTTTACAACAAATTTTCTGAAACTTTTAGATCTCAAATCGTCTTCCGAACAGATATTTTCCGAAAATTGACGTTGGGTGCCCCTGATGATTTGGGTGATCAGATTCTAAACGGGAGATTAGGTCTATCCTTCACCACATACTGGCGCTTATGAACAAAGCGTTGGCATGCTAGCGCAACACGAATTTCAAACTGTTTCTTGAAAAGCGTTGCGATCATCATAAAAATATCATTGTGCAGCTTAATTAACTTTTTACTTGTTATGTATCTTGGTTATGAAATTAAATAGAAAGGAAAATAAAAGAATTAGAGGTTAATGCCGCTTTGGTACCCACTTTTTTTAGTTGTCAGAAAACCGTATATTCATAATTCAAATTATTAAGCACTAGGAGTACTGGGAGAGGCACTAGTCGACGCATGAAGTAAGCTCACGATATAATGAAACAGCATGAGACTAAAAAAAGAAGCTTAAGAATCCCTTGCCTTCCCTTCACCATAGTTATACGCAACCTTGGTCGATCATATTATCAATATTGACTAAGGAAAACAAGATATTCGTTTCATCCTCATGGGTTTGACTTATCCTGTTCCTGGTTTCCATTTCTGTTGTAGACCATAACGTTTTGATAATATTAACTATCGTATACCAAATAGTAGAGAGTCAGTGATGTATAGGCAAATCGTGTCATATCTCGGAAGGTCATGATCAGTAGACGATGTTCCTCGTAGGGAAAGGGCTGAGTTCAACAGTTACTGAATAAATTGTCCCTGGTCGGTCAAATACAGCGAATTTGTAAAAACCGAAAAAAAGCGCTTTAAAGCCAAGATAATCAATATAAAGTGAAAATGGCTTTACCCCAAGAATCACGTCACAGCTTGGTGGAATATGATCGTCCGGGTGAGTGTAGTCTTTAACAGAGCGATTGTTGTTGCAAGTGACTGAAGTTTCGACAACCTGTGCAAAAGTCATCAATACATGTCAGTCATACGTGTGAACGCAGAAGGGCCTCACTGAGGTCCTTACTGACTCGTTGTTTACAAATGTTACTCAAGGATGGATGCAGAAACGTTTGATAAAGACGTGGGGAGGGGTCCAACTAGTGTACACAGATGAAGCAAACAATGTCCACCCTTCCTCACCTTAACCGAGTCTGACGTACACCCGCTTGCTCTGGTGATAAACTCGGTACATGTGGCCTTCTACAGTTGTAAAGGGCAAAGCCTTTAAACATTCGTCTCCTGTATTACAATTGATAAAATCAATACAATACAGACTGACAATAAATCCGGAGTACAAATCTTCTAATTTCACGCCATCTTGCCCTGATCATAGTACCCACGATGCAACTATGAGCGTGAACTCATAAGGAAGATAATTTTTAAATTTAAAACACTTAAGCTATATAAAGAAACAAAAAAAAAATTACTAAAAAGAAGACTAAACGTAAAGGAAAAGAAAAAAAAAGAAAAGAAGAAAAAAACGGATTTTCCCGGAATCGAACTCGAGACCTTCTGCACTCTAAGTCATTTCGTTACTACTACACCACGTGAAACACGTTGTTCAAGACAGTTTAGAAAACGAAGACCGAAGACCGAGGAAACAAAGACCCCATTAAAATTTCGAGATCCTAGAGACCCCAGACCATCTCAGAGACCCAGATCTCTTATTGACGTAGCCGAAAGCGAGATCTGGTCAAATCCGACTATTGCCTGTCTTGAATGTGACAGGCGATGAAAGAGCGCAGGCTTGAAATAAATCCTCAATTTTCGACGTGTTAAACAACGAATTTGATAGAGCCGTGAAGTTTTTTTCTAACAAAACGTGGTTATACGCACTCAAATTCAACGCGACAGTTAGTTTGAATTTCATTATCATTGCGCACGCTAAAACCTCAAAGTAGTACGCGTCAACTTCTACGCGAGAATTTTTTACCCTCCTCAAAAGTCTTTATTGACACGGAGAGAGAGTTTTAAAAAGTCTTAAAAGATAAGATAAAAATGGTTTTCCAAGTTTTTTTGAGACGGAAAACTACTCTTTAGTGAACAGAACCAAAGACTTTGCAAAGAATGAATTGCACAGGCCACAGCGTATTTTTATTTGGCCAGTTACTAATAAAACGAGAAACCAGGCAAAAATTAAGAGCCAAAACGACCTAAAAGATCCACAACGATCAAAACTAATCGACAAAAGATCCACAGCGACCCAAAACAAGGCAAAACAAGTTCCACCCTCCTTGGAACGTCGGTTAAAATTGATTAAATAATAAATATTTCACTGCTTTTTCATACCCGGAGCGAAGGATGATCTGTATGGTCTTTTTATACAAAAAGACTTCAAAACAAAAGGATAACAGGCGAAATCTGGGTGTTGCATTCGATTCATTTTTCTATCTGCATGGCTGAAAATAGAGTTCACAAAAGTAGATTAAGTGAAGAATAGAGTTGCTGAGGTCAGTCTCACTCTCTACTAATCACTAACCAGCTCCGAGATCCTCCATCCCCAATTACATGGAGATTTGGATTAGATTAATCCTAGGGCAAAATTAAATTGCGATGTCGGTGTTTCGCTACGTTTTTTTGCGATGATGCGGTGTTTGTTATTTTTTCCTGCGGTGTTGCGGTGTAGACAGTCCCCCAATGCCCCCTCATTATTATACCATAAACCCTTACGGAACTGTAATACATTTCTTTCCGTAATTTTGTAGCCTCCCACGCAGACGTTCTTAGGGTTCGTGTGACGAACCCCTAAGAACGTCTGCGTGGAAAGCTAGTAATTTTGTAAATCGAAAAAGAAAACAAACTTGCTGTAACAACGTCTTTCAATATAGCAAGATTCGAACACGAAAACGAAGTGCAAAGAAAAGCATTAAAACCGGAAAAAATGGAATCCAGCTCTTTTTGGAATCCGGAATCCACTGTGCTGGAATCCGGAATCCAGTACCCGGAATCCGGAATCTACAGCATGGAATCCAGAATCCAAGACTGTCCTGGATTCCCTTTCATGGGGCGAAAAATTATTTGGAAACGGCTGGAAACTGCTAATAACTACTTCTAAATACTAGAGGAGTGTAAGAAACAACACGGTTTTCAATTATCCAAAATTTTGACCAGGGTCTTCGTTTTCTGGGTCTTTGGTCTTCGTTTTCCAGACACCCTTTTATGGTTTGTTTACTTTACCTTTGGCTGAGAAAGCATAAATATATATCTGACTCGATTTACTGTTAGAAATATGGCTATAGAAATTTCTCTCATATACCTTTGGTGGAGCATGTTTTTTTTCATTGTCATTATTTATTTATTTATTTATTTATATTTTACCGATTATTTACTGAATACTCTGTAGTTCATGGATAGATTGTCATGAGTTTCTCACTGGCCATTAACCTCCCCTCCCCCTTCGCCAAAAAAAACGCTTTTCGTAACTTCCCATAATTCTCTCTGTATGTCATTTTAAGAGATGGGAGAGTTTTTTTGGCACACGTAAGGTGGAAATCTTTTTTTTTTACTCGATGGCTGGATATTTTTTTTCTTCAGGAGGTGAAACTTTCATATGTTTCATATGTCACATTTATACTGAATAATAACAAGAATTTAATAGGTCAATTAAATTCATAAATAGACTTCTTTTGTACTTCGGTTCGGAAATCATGAATAACGAGAAAAGCTCAACAAAATACATGTATAAATTAGGCCCGTTTCAAACGTCGTGCTACCGCCGTGCCGAACTCAATTGATCGAATTATAAATACATTAGAATATATTTAACAGAAAAGTTTGCTAAACCGTTTCTTTATTTTTGTGTTTTGTTTTTGGCACGACAGCCGTTCCATTCTACTATCATTGTGCGAATTAAATTCGACGTCTGAAACCAAGTCGCTCTAACGTCGTGCTTCAGTCGAGCTACCAGTCGAGCCAGCTTATCACGGCAGTAGCACGATGTTTGAAACAGGCCTTAATTGCGTTCGATCCAATGAATGCACTAGGATATGGCGTTTCCGAGAGCCCAATTTTCGTTGTGGAAAATGCGCAAACTCTAGCCTGTTAAACGTTCTGGAAACTAGTAAGGGCGCCTGGAAAGTGGAAGAGCAAATAAACTCTTTTCAAGTTCTGCCCTGCAAACCAGCCAACTTCAACCTGCAACCTGTAAATTACACCCTCCGATATAAAAGGAGTCTTCAATATGTTACACTTTCACATAGACTCTCAGTAAATAACTTGTGCTGCACAGAAAGTTTTATTTCTTGACTCGCAATAACAACACGTCAAAATAAAGTGTTCATTCAGTATTCACTTCACCTTCCAGGCTTGACATTCTTGTTATCCTCCGAAGGTGAACGAGCCTGCACGTCCTCTGGTCAGTGGTTGACTCACTTATTCAATTTGTACTTCATAAATTCTCAGCCAGTCACTTCTGTGTTTGAACAAAGGTTTCGGTTTTGATTTTTCATGTTAACACAATATGTCTGTCGAGGAAGAAAAGATCGATACTCCCAGTCATGAAGCATTGAAAGAGGCCCTGGACTTGATGAAGAAAGCTTATGATATTATGAAAGAACAAGCTCTTGATGTACGCAAGGAGAAAGAAGCATTTGATTCTGTTGCAAAGAAGCTTGAACATGTTCACTTCGCTTCTACCATCAAACTGAACGTGGGTGGTCAGTATTTCACCACAAGCCTTCAAACGCTGACAAAAGATACAGGATCAATGCTTCACGCCATGTTTTCGGGAAGATTTGATACAAAGCCCGCTGAAGACGGATCTTACTTCATTGATCGCGATGGAACTAACTTCCGTTATATCCTGAATTACCTTCGCACGGGTCGTCTTCTTCTACCAGAAGATAAACTGGTTCGAGAGGAATTACTTGAGGAAGCCGAATTCTATCAGATTCGTGGGATCGTGGATGAGCTTCGTAACCCACCAAACCTGAAGTTTAAGGATTCTACAATCCTGACAGCTGAGCAAAAGGAAATCTTCGTCAACAATTGGCTGAAAACGAAGCTCAATAGTAGCCAATCTGATTTTGTGCTGATTTACCGAGCCTCAAGAGACGGGTGGCATTCATCTAACTTCCATGTTCTTTGCGATAATAAGGGACCAACTGTTACCGTGGTGAAGAGTGGAGAATATATATTTGGAGGCTTCACAGATCAATCATGGGATGGTAAGGTATTTTTTAACTGGCCTTTGACAAAGCAGGCAGTCACTCTAACTATTAAACTCCATGTTGGCGACCCTTCCCCCCAAACACTATCAGTCGTGGGAAGAAAACTATCATAGCTCTTACTTGGTGTTGTTTTTTAAATAGTCTGTCTTAAGGATAAAAAGATCTAGAAGCTTGAGCCACCTCCAGTTGTTCTTTTTGAAGGGGTTCAATTCCATTTCAAATAAAAGTATCTCCACCCCTATCAACATGGGTGCTACTGCCATGGGGTATGTCTTGCAAAGTTATGCTCAGTTGAGTCCAGCTGCGCCCATGCCCCCCCTCCCCCTGGCTAACGTTTTTGCCTTGGATGGCAAATTCCTGTGGGGGGAGGAGAGGCAGGCAAACAAGAAATTTTACCAAGTAGCGTAGTGGGGACAAAGAAAGAGGGCAAATTCCCATCCTCCATCAACACTGCGGCAGTTTTCATTGATCACACGGTTGAGTAGTGCCACTTTGAGCATTTTAATGTGTGATTTTTTGCTTCAGTTAGTGTCTTCCTTTGTACCAGCGCCATTCTTTTCTGAACCCCGGGTCATGCAAAATCTCCTGATACCCCACCCCCACGATTGACAAGTGGGCAAATGCCCCACGGTAGCCCAAGGGATGGGTGCAGCTGGAATTGACTGATACATTAACATATAATACTACAAACCTTTCTTTTCGATTTCCTTGTTTAGACAATCATTAGATGTCAACATTATTAGATATTCACAGTCAATTCTCTGTTCTTTGCTTATCTTTTTTTCTGCGTTAGCCATTATTATCAATGTAGTGATAATTTTTGCATAGCCTGAGTATCAGACCTTCCTAAGGGGCTAGTGGAGAGGAGATTTTAGATGGGGGAGAGGGGAGAAGAGCTCTCTCCCTTCTTCGCTTCTGTCTTTCCTCTTTTCCCTAAGAAACGCCTGATACTCAGGCTAATTTTCAGATCTTGGAAGAGCGTTTACAGTGTATTTAGACAAGGAGAATCAATTCAATGCTATAGCCAACCTGTTTACTTGCTGTCAGGAAGATTGCAAATTAAATGTTAATGTTTTAATAATTATTTTATTTCTCCCACTTATATATCTTGAAGTAATTAATTCAGCTAGAATTAGATCAAATAAATTTAAATATAAGGTAGTTTTTTAAACATACCCAAAGAAATTCAATTAATATTCATGGTTTCTATGCCTGTCAGCCACTAAATTAAACCATGCCAAGAGTCAGGCCCGGGGGGGGGGGGGGGTACTGCCATATATGGGCTATATGGGTATGTGCCGCTGTGAAGGGTATGGTTTTCAAAAAGTTTACTCTAGGATAGGGTATATAAATCAGAGCGTTTGGGTCTAGAATAGGGTATCACTTTTCAGGAAACTGATCAGTTGGTTGAAGATTTTATCTAGACTGGGGAAACAGCTACTCTAGGATAGGGGGATTTTGGGAGTTTACTCTAATATAGAGTAGCAAAATTCAGCTGAACTAGCTCTGGTATAGGTCAAGGGTTCCAGGGTCCCAGCGCCACATCCCCACCCAGAAATTCCTAAAGTGCCCCCCCCCCCGGGGAGTCAGGCTCCTCACAAAAAGAAAAGGTGACTGACAAGCATCATGGGAATGGTCATGCAGCTATGATACTGAATTTCTTAATTTGGCTATATTTAAAGAACTCTCTAAATTCATCCAGCTCATAAACCAGGCCCTGCACAGGGGAAGAGGCTGGGGCAGCCCCTTTAAAAATAATAAAATTAATTAAGTAATTACATTTTTATTTGAAAAGTATCTTTATATATCGGTCTGGATTTGCTAAAGCGTGGCTAAAGAAATTTCAAATTCATTTTAACAATTTGACGTGTAAGTCGAATGGAAAGCAGTTAAAAGTCACTTGCTAAGGCTTAATAGTAACTAATTCACATCCGCATAAAAGCCACCTTATGCCTTTTGATGGATAAGTTATGGGTGAAAAATTTTGCATAAGGCATAGGGTGGGCTGATAGAGAAAATTTGCCAGCGCCGCTGAAGGGGAGGAGGGTGGGGAAACTTACTTGCCCGTTGTACAGTAGACTTGCGAGAAGACGGCGAATTTGTTTGCTAGGGCGTATAAAAGGCCTAGGGAATTTCCCTGGGGACCGTAAAGGACCAACAGACTGCTTCCCGAGGGAGCACGCAGTAATCTAGTTGATTAAATCGTCACGCGGCTGCTTTTATACGAATGAGAATAGTGATAACTATATCGCTGGTAACAGATGGTAAATTTCTCTCGCAGAAGTAACAGGATTTTGCGATGAAATAAACAACATTGGAAACGTCCAGAAATTATAACCTTTGTAATAGTCAGTCAAACCATGAGGCCCACAGCGAAGTGTCTGCTAAAAACAGATTAAGAATCCACAATCTTTGAGCACAGTATAGCCTTTCTAAGACAAAATCACCTAAACTTAACACTCACGAAGCGTTTTAATGCTTTGCACAAAGTATTCTGGTAACACGAGCTCAACCACGTACCTGAGTTTTGTCTGTCAACGCCTTCGGAAAATCACACGATAAATGACTTTCGCTGCAATCACAACGCTTCCGAAAACCACTCATAATATTTCCACATTTAACACGGGCGAAACATCTACTCCGAAAAACTCTCGCTTTCTCTACATAAATCGTCGCATAGAAACTTTTCTCGACTCACACAGTCGATTTATTCAAGATCCGGGATGTAAACCAGCGGCTGAAAAGGAGTCATAGAGCCCCCGCCTTGCAAACAATTTTTAACTAAGTCTTTGGCCTGGTCAGAAATCAGCATCAAGTCGAATAGATTTAACCCCTAGAACCTACTTTGTGAGGCCAAAGACTTGTCACTGCTAACAACAAGCCTCGGAATATCCAATCTTTCCGCTTCAAGCCCGGGCTTAATGAAGCCTTCCAGAAAACGTTGCTCAAGGCAGCCAAAAAAAACTCTAATACAACCCACTACGAGAGCTGAGTTCAGTCTAATACGCGCGCTAATTTCAAACTGACATACAGAGAGAATTATGGGAAGTTATGAAAACCTTTTTTTTTTTCAGTGAGAAACTCATGACCTGTATCTACTACAGCGTATTCAGTAAAGATTAGGTAAAATATAACTAAATAAATGATAACAATGAAAAAAAAACATGCTCAACCACAAGACTCGGTAAAGGTATATATATGAGAGAAGTTCATAGCCTAGCCTGAATTTCATCCGATTGCTTCAAGTCGTTTTCTCCTCTCAGCAACGTCTGAATCGACCAGCCGTTATAACCGTCCAGTGACGTCGCTACTACCCGAAAACCGGGTAGTGATTTTGATTGGTTAATTGTCTAAACATTCACATAATTGCCCCCGCAGGGATTTCGCCCAGAAGGCGAAATCCCGAGGAGGTACTCTATGATCTCGCGCGTATATTAAGGAAAGTACTTACAGTTCAAATATACAGTCATACAGTCAATATAGAAAAAATCTCGATTTGCTTGAACAGGGGCCGCGAGGAATCGGTAGGTAATGATGACGTTTCTATTGTTTGCGCCCGCAAGTACGAAATGGTTAGGCATGACGTAAAACACACATAGGTAGATTTTGTGACATTAATTGTGCAGTCATACTTCGATACTCTTTTGCGTTACGTGTTATCAGTGACATTCTGTGGAGCAGTTGTTATGAAAGTTATAGACCAAAAGACACTCGTTAAGCGCAGATGAAGTTATAAGGTGCGTAGAACAGTGTATATTTTAACACTAAGTGAGTTTGCCAGACACGAGTTCACAAATCTTTGATTGGAAACCTTCAGCTGAACCTTGGGAGACACTCTTTCTCTCTCTTTGACCGGAATAAGACTCGGCTCAAAACAAGCAAGACGAGCGAATGATTCAACGGCTAGCTTATCACTAGCAGAACGATGGAAGATTACAGAAATTCCCCGACCATCAAATTCTGTTCTGACTTATTCCCTGCTCACAGGTGTCCTTCCACTATAAAGTTTAAAATAAGACTAGAATGCGCGAGCGTGAATTGATCAAACGTCCTTTTAATTTCTAAGGCTTACTTTCCGGCAAATAAAATGAACCAAATGTAAAAAGTGAAATAGAAATAGCGAAAAATTAAACTTCTAATTAAATCTTTTCTTATGGTTTAGAATAAACTATTCTCGAAACTGAGAATGTTTTGATCAAAGCTGTGTAAATCGAACCGAAGCTGTGCATGGAACCTTGCGTTTATTTCCTGTATTTATCTCACCTATTGTATGGAATATGTGTGAACATCTTCATTATGAATCGGTATATTTCAAAGAGCTACACAAGGAGCAAGAGTACTATATACAGGGCGGGGGCAGCTGTAGTGTCAACTATTACTAGTTATGTATAATTTATGAGAAATTTTAGCGGGATTGTCACTTGATGTTGAGCGGATTGCATCACTGACATGATTGCGTGGAGTTCAAACATTTCGAAAATCTTTATTGTAAACAGCAAAATTGCCCTTGTCGTCGAAACTGAAATGCTGAATTGAACTGCGAATGAAGAATCATTGCGGCGAGTCGGTAGGTTTTTCATTTAGAGCCGCTTAGTGGTTTCGGCAGTGATTTTGTTTATGCGAAGTTTTCTGAGATCAGTGTTATAATTAGACCTTCTTGCTATTTTCACCGTCATGTATACTGATTCCCTTGTTTTTTCCTTCGTTGAGGACCAGATAGCTTCTTTTCAATTGAAGCAATCCGTTGTGTTTTTGAACTAAGTGTTCCGTGTGTGCATTTATTTCATTGCGTGATTGCGACCGAGTTTGATTATGGAATTACAACCGGTTCAGAGCTGTACTGATGCAGTTGATAGTTTAAACGTTAAATATGAATTACGATCCACAAAAGTAAAGCAATTCTGTATCATGCAGACATTTCCAAGCGATATTTCTCGGTTTGCCACTTGAAAATCGTGTTTTAGTTTGCATGAATTAAAGCAAAGGAGTAGTGACGTCACTGGACGTACGCAGTGCGTAGTTACTAAAACAAGGAATGACCTACAATGATCTACAATGACCTACAATGACCTACAATGATCTACAATGACTCACAATGACCTACAATGATCCACAATGACCTACAATGACCTACAATGATCTTCAATGACCTACAATCACCTACAATGATCTACAATGACCTACAATGATCTACAATGGGCTACTATGAGCTGCTACGAGCTAAAATGAGGTAAAATAAGCCCTACAATGAGCTACAAAATGACAGACAATGATGTTTGTCGTGTGTCACGCTTGGACGTGACACTAGGCTCATGGTATTAAATTGCCAAGCACATTTTGAAAAGGCAAAACAAAAATAAAGCCTGATCTCAGGTAACTTGAGAAACTTGAAAATAAATTATTGCAATCGCGTTTTTACCGGTATCACTATTATACCCTGTATTGACGGAAGTCATCCAGGCACTCCCTTAGTTGGCCTAGATGGGTATGGGCTGCTGAGCAGGATATGGATTTTACTATTTAGCGTTACAAACAGAGCATCTTGTTGGACCGGAAGCCACTTACCGTAAACGATCTAATAAACGCCCACTCTCAAATAAACGCCTCTTATCTAATAAACGCCCCCCTTACGCTGTTAAGTTAGTATTAAACGCCCCCTGTCTAATAAACGCCCTCCTTGAAAATTGCCCCCAAATACTAGGAAATAGAGCGAAATCAATCAATTTATTAATTTCATTGCTTGATTAACTTCAGTTTGTGTATATGTCATGTTCAATTTCTAGATAAGCCGTCAGGCCCGCAGTCGAGTTCTGTTAACACAAAAACGTTTTTAGCTGAAAGCATACTGTATACAGTTATGTTGAGTTCGTTAAAATAAGTTACGAGAATAAACGCCTCTCTCTTTTAAACGCCTCCCATCTATTAAACGCCCCCACTTGGACCCCTAAAATTAAATTAACGCCCCGGGCGTTTATTAGATCATTTACGGTAAAGGGTCTTATGATGTCTTATACAGGCTAGGGTACTTAAATAAACAATTTTTCTGTTAAACAGGGGGTCAGAATTTGAAGGCCTCGTTTGTTCATCTATACCCAAACGTCCCTTGAAGATCCCCCCGGATCGACTGTTGGGGTGACTGTGTTTGTTTAATTTGTTTGAAAAAAAGACAACGCAAAACACAACTAACGGGAAAGGTTGCAAGGGATGGTTTTCATTATCATCATACATGTATTATTACACTGTAAATTTATCTCCAAGCGTAATAATTAGCGATGCTGTTATCATTTGGGCTGTCATGCAGTAGACTAAACGCGATACGTTTATGCACACATGTCCCCTGATCTTTTTTTTTTTTTTTGTCTTTTTCTAAAATCTTCATTTTAGCTCATTACAGAGATCTTAAGCGTATTTTCAGGTCCCCTCGTTCGGTCATTGTAGGTCATTGTGGGTCATTGTAGGTCATTCCTTGTTTTAGTAACTACTCGAAGTAATCGGATGAAATTCAGGCTATTCATAGCCATGTTTTAGCAAATCCAGTCAGATATATATTTGCTGGAATAAGAATATTCTGCTGGCGGACATCTCAAATTAGCATCTAAATTATGTAGTATATTCAACGATGCGGAGTAAGTCTTTTCTGACGAAGGGTTTTGGTTAAGTCTGAAGTCAACTGAGTCTACTCCATGAAATTACGGTTCCTTAAAACGAATTATCATATCGGCTGATGATGTGGTCTCTTATGCATTAAAAGCCCCACTGGAAATTTAAAGTTGAGATCAATGGTTGTTATATTACATGTGTGTGTGACATCCTTGACAAAATGAAGGAGTTAGAGGATCCTCAGAAGATCATCATCTGCAGGCTTCTAATGGTGAATCGTGCATGTGCAATTAGGAGCAGCAGCAGAAAGGTCCTTTTCAAAGGCTTGAAAGTTCTAAACATGCATGGCTCCGCTCAACAATGACTCAAGAAAGGTTCAGTAATCTGACAGTTTTAAACAGCCACAACAATAAATAAATAAATAAATAAATAATGATTTGGAGGTAGCACATCCACAAAGTGGTTCTTCGTCTACCTGATTCCTGGTCGAATTGGAATTTGGAAATGTTGGTTTTTGAGGAGAGGGGAAAACCGGATAGACTACGAGTAGTCTCCATTTTTTTTCCACTTCAAAAGATGTGGTCACTGGCCCCCACACACCTGCTCCGTGCGTCCTGTAAACTCGTTTATTCGACCAAAGAGCTTACAAACAGGAAGACTTTAATTTTTATTTAAATAACATGCCATTTAAAAGCAAGAAAGAAAAGGAATATATTAATAAGCTTAATTTCTAATGTAATTTTTCAGGCACTAGTGGCTACAAACGCTGCAAAGAATCATTTCTATTCAGCCTTGTGAACCCATATGGTGCTGTGCCAACCAAGATGCCACTCAAGGGTTCTAAAAACCAGAATGGAATCTACTGCAACAGTGGATATGGGCCAACATTTGGAGGAGGCCATGACCTGTTCCTTGGCAGTGGAGCAAATGAAGATGAAAATAGCTCCAGCAGTTTGGGCCATACTTATCAATCAGTGAATGCAAATTCAACATTCCTAGCTGGCCAGACCGCTTTTTTTGTTAGTGAACTTGAAGTGTTTGTACTTCAAGCCAACCAGCAATGATACTTTCTTCTATTGTTTTAAAAATATGCAAGTTTAATGCTTCATATATTACGTTAGAAATGTTATATTTTGATAACATCTAGTAATGTACTTGGAACTGAAATAAAGAGAACATAAGAGATAAAAATTCCCGACTAAGGATACTGTTAAAGCTTTTTTCATGCGGTATCATGCTCACGGCTCTGCGTAGCAATCAGTGTTCCGATGATGAAGGTCTGGTTTACAGTAAAACGAGAGTTAAGTTTGCTACACCTTGAACCTCACGTTTATTTGCCGAGAAAAAAACTTCACTTGAAAAAAAACAACAACAGCAACAATAAAAAAATATATTTAATTACAAATTGTAAATGGTTTTATCCATAAGGGAGGTATCATAAGCTTAAAATTGATTCGCTATAAAAAAGGATGGCACCCAATTTTGAAACAACAACTTCGGCTCGGGCTTGAAGTTTTGTTAGAAAATCGGAGCACGTTAGCATTTAAGTTTCATGAAAAATTCCATTGTATCAAAACTAAAAACGCCAGAAAGTAAAATATAGATCAATTGAGGCCTTTTACTGCTGAAATTAAAGTAAAAAAATTAAATTCCCAGCTTTCTCCGATCAACTAAAATTAGTGTAAATCAAAATGTGTGAAAAGCGTTAGAATAGTGCGAAATGTATCAGAAGTATGAAAATATAAACTTGAATAAAATACGAAGACCTAATGAGCGAGTGTCACAGGACAGAATCTCCTGAAAGGCATAGTGATAGTCTCTAAAACAAAAGGTCCGCAAATTCGTTGCATCACGGGAGTTCTAGATAAAGGACCATGACGTCATTACTCAAATATGGAGTCTTACTTACACCCATTTGGAGTCAAAAAATATAAAAAAATAGAGGGTCACACAGAATTTGAGAAATTTTCCCAACATTGTGCGGAATTATGAATCTGCCACCGAGGCAACAAAATAGGTGCCGAAAATAATCAAAATACCCGGATCGAAGAAATTAGCGTCCGGCCTCCATGAAAATGCAAATGGTATCGTGAAAAACGTTTTTTAACGATAATTAAATTTTGCGCTTCGAGTAACTTACCACCACCAACTTTCCTGGAATGTATTTTTATTATCTTGTAATCCGATTAGTCAGCTTTGTCTAAGTGGCGCCGGTTACAGTAGTCGCCTTGTAAATCAGGCTTTATCCTAGGAGACTTGTCATAATTAGGCTTAGCCACAAGTTGCTCGGCAACTTTTGAGATTTTCGGCAACTTTTTAGAATTTTGGTAACTTTTAGAATTTTCGGCAACTTTGGGCTTTTTGAGGTTCGTTGAAGCCACTTTCTTCACGTTTTGAGCCACACTGGTCAGTTTTCGATAGACATATATTCAATTTATTCTAAAATACAAAAATTTGGGCCTAAGGCCCCCCATGGGTTGATTTTTGTGATGCCTTATCACGAGGTCAGCGGTATCACGTTGCACGTTTTTCAAGATGGCGGACAATTACAGTGACTCCAATACATCCAACTCAGATGAATCTGCAGATGAAAGTGAAATGGAAAGAACCTCTGATATTATCATTGGACTTTGACAAATAAAGTTTTGATAAGAAGCAATGTGCAAATTTTTAATCTTTAACACCCAAAAAAGGTACGAAAAGCAGAAAAATTTGGGCAGCTTTTCGGCAACTTTTTGGCAACTTTTAGACACTTTTATCGCCAACTTTTTTGGGATTTCTTTAGGATTTTTTTTTTTATCGGCAACTTGTGGCTAAGCCTAGTCATAATTACGTTGGATATGATCGTTTTCGCGATGTACAATGACCGATGTTTCTCCCCGGGGGAGATAGTAAGGGAGGTATCATAAGCTTGACTTGTGTGGTGATGACAAATCGCATTCTTGAAGGTTATTCATAAGAATGAGTAACAACAAGGGTCTAAGGGTAGATCCTTGTGGGAACTTCGACCCAAAAAAACAAAAGATAAATAAAAAATTCCGTGAGATAAAAAATTAACTACAACATATACATTGTTTCGAGTCAGTCTTATACTCAGCCCTTTGGCCCACTAAAGTCCACAAAACAGATGTTGGAGATGAAATATGTTCCTTATGAAATATGAAATATGTTTTCTTTGTGAAATAAGTTACTGAGGGAATATTACCCCCACCATGAAAATGTAATAGACTTCCAAGGCTTAATACTAGTTATAGCTATCGCTAAGTGCCAACGAGCAAAGATTTTAACTATACGCGAGCGTCGTTGAATTTGTTTAGAAATGTCATGAAATACAGTAATTGATGAAAAAAATATTGAACTTCATTCGATTGCGTTGAAAATAGTGCAAACTTAAAGCAAGGGGCACAGATACACCAACCCACGGCCGGGCCAGTACCTCACGCATGCGCACAGTCATATCATACGGCAGTGTCAGACATGGACAGCTGTTTCGCCCTTATTGGGGCCTACCAGCGTGGCAAAGCCGTTGGATTAATGAACGGGGTAAACCCGCGTCTCAAAAACCCTTTACTGCCGAGGTGAGTGCAAAGCAGTCTATCAAGCGCCAGCTCCACGCAACACATGTGAGAGCTGTTGGCTGGGAACCGCACAGCAGTTCTACCACGACATGCGCGAGGAAGGTGGATCACGAGTTACCAGTAAATTAAAGCAAGGGGCTCACATACACCAACCCACGGCCTGGCCATTACCTCACGAATGCGCACAGCCATATCACGCGGGCAGTGGCAGCCATGGACAGCTGTTTCGCCCTTTCAGGGGTTCATCAGCATGCTAGCCGTCGGCCAGTGACCAGGGAAAACCCATGTATTTTTCTTTTGTATTTTGGCGATTCAAAGGGCGCGGTGCGATGCCCCAAGGCCATGAAAACAAAGGGAACAAAACGATCCGACAAAACGAAAAACAAAAAAACTATCGTAAGTGTAACCTACAGGGTAAAAAGACCGCCAAAATGGGAGGGGGCACCTCCATAAGGAGCCAGCCCGCCAACTTCGCCAGGGAATCGAACCCCGCCAGTAGTAATAGTCGCTACTGGGTGGCACGCCCAATCAGAATCGAGTATTTCAAACACGTGACTGAATTAATTCACTCTCGACCAATCAGCGTCCATGATTTCATGGGGGTTAGTACTACATGTAAAACCACCACGAAAAGTCTCCCAACATTTCCCCGTCATGTAAGACGCACGAAAAGTCACGTTTCAACCAATTTTATTCTGACGTCATACCTAGCGTTACAATCGGGACGTGTGTGACCCCCTATTGACGTCACGCCTTTGTGTTAAAACAGATACGTAAAAATAATAAAATTAACATAGATTGGTGCTCTGTATAGTTCATTACATCGTTGTATAAATTTACGTTTAGTCTTCCAATTGCTCCATCCATCTCTTGTGGAACACCAACATAATTTGACCAGAGACGGGGAATACGCGTGACATTGGTAAATCTTAATGTTGAATGACAGTTCTAAAAAGAAAAGAAATTGACTTAATGTTCAAGGACATTTCCAAAAAGAAATTGATCTAAAAATTGATCGTGAAGTTCGTGACAACGTTTTAGATAAGGTTTTATATCAAAGTTTACGAAACCGTTGTTGTCGCACGTGGAGCACCAACAAAGTTTAACAAGAGAGGGTCTATGTCCATGACAACCGTGGGCAATTAGTGGAACGAAGAAATCTGTAAAACAAATTGCAATGTTTTATGAAAAAGTCCGGTCATAAAAAAAGAAATTGAACCGCAGTAATTAATGCTGGCGAATAATGATTGAGTTCTCTACATCGTCTAACAAAAGCAAGCCTTTGAGTCGGTGTCCACTGTCTCCAACCCCCTTTTGTAGAACACCAACATAATTTGGCCAAAGATGGACGATAGTCGTGACATGAACTTTTTGAAATGCAATCCGTTGTAGCTGTAGTTTGTTGGAAAACGGACCACCACAAGAGAATTATTTCTCAGCCATAGTTGTCTTTGGACAAACACGCGGCGGGTTGATTATGCAAAAATCTTCAACTTAAGACCAGGTATTGTGTAAAAAAAAATGCAATTAAGAATTAGCCGTTTAGCTTTTGTCTTTTTAAAAAATAAGCGATTAAGACATTGAGTTCCCACTTCGAAAAAAGTCAAGGAATGTTGTTTCACAATCATCTACAACATGTTGTATTTCTTTGCGAAATTGTAATTCTCTGTCTATCGACAAACCTATGAAATACCTGTCGCAAAAACTACAAGACGATTCAGAAAAAGAGGGCTCTTTTAACCCTGATTGGATAGTAAACAATCTATTATGTGTTCAACATACAAACGCGCTCTCCGTTCAATCATGATTTCATTCTTAAAAGTTCAGTTTGCTCGGAAAAAAGTCTTAACTCTCACCAATATTCTTTGAAACATTGTCCAGCGTCAAAGGATAGCCAGTTTTATTGGGCATGTATTCTAACTGACTTATGCGGCTTTGGTCGACAAACTCATCCAACAAGAAAGGCTGAATCACTGCGACGGTTTTGCTATTCAACACCCAAGTCAAAACCAACATTCTTGCCTCATGATGGATAATGATGACGCATGGAAGTATTACCACGATGAAGTGATGGAACAAATTGACCTGAATTCTATGCTGAACGCTACCGAAAGTATATGCAGTGCTCTCGGCTTCAAACTAGATAAATCATGGGAAGCGTAGGTTACCGAGCTGCCAAATAAGGTCGTAGACCAGTATTTACCTCGCTTCTCTGTAGCCTGAGTATCAGGCCTTCCTAAGGGGCTAGGGGAGAGGAGATTTTAGATGGGGGAGGGGGAGGGGGAGGGGGAGAAGAGAAAGGAAGGCCTGACACAAAACCATTCAGCAAATCGTGTGACACATCCAAAATCTGGATGTGGCAGTGATTGGATAACACACAATACCCCCTGACGTCACTGACCGCAAGAGCGATCGGCAAGGAGGCGGTCATTGAAATTTTTCATACACGTTTTGATTTCATGTTACCGGTATGTGATACTTTTACAGACAGAGACGCAGAGAGGAATTCAAAAAGGCTCTAGAGGGCGCTCTCAAGTTCTTTTCTGGAATAAAAATAAAACCCGAGCAAGAATTGTGTTTTCAAGGCCTCGTAGTTTAAAGGAAAGATGTACTCGGAGTGTGGATAAGCCTCATATGGTTTCACAAGACCGGGACAAAGAAGACAATATCAGTGTTTCAGATATCTAAGTTCAGATTTACAACATCCTGCCGTTAAAAGGGTATTGTTACTGTAAATGAAAATAGAGCGAGGTAGCCATGTATTGAGATAGCCGACAGCACAAATGCTTTTAAAAAGC